TTAATTAATAATGATTTTTCACTGAATTTTTCTACATTTTTAATGAAATACTATTAAAATATTAATGAAATTATAGTGAAATTTTAATGAAATTGGGTCAAAATTGTGAATTTTCAAAAGCATTTCAGCAGAAGTTCATTATATTTTCAATAAATTATTTCCATCAGATACAAATGTCTCAATTGAGATCTTACATGCGAATTTTTGCGGAAACGGCATTTAAGAATTCAATTGAGAATTCAACTGAGAATTGAATTGGAAATTCTATTGTTATCTGAACAGAAATTTTTCAGTAGGGTATATCTTCATATATAATTATATCCAGATAACATCAGGCAACATCATACAAAATTATGTATAAAGTCTTAGAAACTTATATACTGGGTGCACAACTAAGTTTCCGGGTTTTTTTGATCAATTAAAACTGGAAAATTTTAAGAGAAATACAAAAAATGGTTTATTCAAAGTATCATCCCTCGCTAGCTACACATTTTTGCCATCTCTCTGGCAATACATAAATACCGCGACGATAAAACGACGCGTCTTTGGACCGAAACCATTCATCCAACCAATTTTGCACTTCTTCCAAATTGGCCAAGTGTAGCCCAGCCAAGCCATGCGCTATCGACCGGAACAAGTGATAAGCGGAAGGGACCAGATCTGGTGAATACGGCGGGTGCGGTAGCAGATCCCATTTCAGCGTTTTGATGGTGTCCTGGACGATGGAAGTGCGATAGCACGGAGCGTTGTCGTGCTGCAATATCACTCGTTCGTGTTTCGTGTCCCATTCTGGCCGTTTTTCGATCAATGCATGGTTCAAATTGATCAGTTGTTGTCGGTAGCGATGCCCATTGACAGTTTCACCCGGTTTCAGCAGCTCATAGTACACGATTCCTTTCTAGTCCCACCAAACGCAGAGCATTGTCTTCTTTCCGAAGCGATTTGGCCGTGCCGTCGATGTTGATGCTTCGCCAGGTGAAAGCCACGATTTTTTGCGTTTAGGATTCTCGAAATATATCCACTTCTTATCGCCAGTAACAATTCGATGCAGGAAACTCTTTCTTTCATGCCGCAAAAGCAAAATTTCGGAAGTGGCTCTTCGATTTTCCATCTGTCTCTCAGTCAACTCATGCGGCACCCATTTTCCTTCCTTTTGAATTTTTCCCATGGCATGTAAACGTTTGGAAATACCTTGGCGAGTCATGTTTAATGCCTCCGCAAATTGATCTTGTGTTTGCGTATCATCTTCATCCAATAACGCTTGCAGATCGGCGCCCTCAATTGTTTTTGGTCTTCCGGAGCGCTCCTTGTCCTTAGGGTCGAAATCACCACTTCTGAACCACTGAACTATAATACAACTGGAATGAGCGCAGCCTTCGTTAGACAAGAGCTGACAGAGAGCCGAGAGAGAGGATCATTTCTTTTTTCTGCGCATTGTCAGTTCCCCTTGCACTGCATAGCGCATGCTCAATTCTCCTTGGTACCGTCTAATCAAAAATGTGTACAACCGATTTCTGGTGGATTTCTGATGTGCAATCACGTGCAATGCAGTATAGTACACTTTCTTTGAAAATAATATTGTAAATCTACTGCTTATGGCTATCACAATGGTTAAAGTGTGTTATACGTCGTACGTCTTCTTCTTTTTCTTTAAAATGTACGTCTTCTTCTTTAAAATGCATTGAATCTTTTTTCAGGTAAATATTATATATTATATTACAATTTTTATAACCTAAAATTACTTAGAAAATAGTATATTTTGATAATTATTTAATATTACTTTTCTAGTTTTCCAGTGAAAAAGGATTTATTTAAAGAATGGAAAAAAGTAGTACCGACGAAAAGGTACATTACGAAGCATTCTCGTATTTGTAGTAAACATTTTAAGGACTCTTGTTATAAACACATTGGAAAAAGACGAATCTTAAAACAAAATGCAATACCTACAATATTTGATTTAGAAAATGTAAGAAATAAATCCAGAATTTACTCATTTCTAATCATGAACAAGTAATGAATATGAAAAATTATAAAATTTATATTTATATATATATTTATTTACATTTTACTTATATTTTGAAAAATAAAAAATTTGAAATATTTATATACAATTAAATTTAAAATATTTATATAAAATTGCTTTTTTAAATATATTATTTTCAGATTTCATCATTTATGGATCAGTATAAAAATTTAAAAACTCTTCAACCTTCAGTTATTCCAAATATGTCTCAATCTTCGTTAAAAATGGTTGATAGAGTTTTAACATCAAAATATTACAGGTAAGTAAAATGTATTATATTATAATAATAGTGATGAAGAATTAATTATGTAAATATAATTATTTTAAACTTTTTTATCTCGTCAGGTAAAATATGTTGCAATGTCACCTCAGACTTCGAAGATGGAGAAAACTATGATTGAAAAAAAAAATGCAGCAGTTGAAACATCTCCACAGCGAGTAGGACCAACTGAAAAGGAAAATACATTAAGGGGATGCTGAATACCGACATTATCTATTTTTCACTATTCTTCCAGACGGCTGCATAGAATTGAAAATGCTTTTACAGAGTAAATATAGATATGCTAATGTATGCAAAACAGCCCAGTATAGCATAAAAAACAAACAAAAATTTTATATTTATTTTTTATACGCCATATTTCCGTTTCATATAAAAAATACTGAATGAGTGTGTAGAAAATGAAAGTCATTTTGTACGCAGGGAACATTAGTAAACATTACAAGGCCATCAGATAATGACTTGAAGGGCTAAATAAAAAAAATAGTGCAAAATACGATTTGCTTGCACGCATGCGGACATGTATTTGGGACTTCTTATCATACGGTAAGGAGGAGCGGTATTATAGTTCCAACGTTTCTCCAGAGAGAGCGCTGATTTTCATCACGCACGAAGCGCATATGGAGGATTCACACTGCGTCCGATGTCCGACGTACGACATCCGATATCCAATAGGAGAACAGCTTTCTAATAGAGAATTCAATTCTCCATTAGAAAGCTGTTCTCTTATTGGATATCGGACGTTGTACATCGGACATCGAACGTGGTGTGAATCCTCCAATATCCTTTTTAGCATACTGATAAGGATCTTTCCAGGAGCTCGATTCCAGACGATACGCGAGCGAAATACGCATGCGGAAATCTATAGTATATGTAACGTGAATTATAGATCTTCGCATGCGCATCTTACTCGCACGCCGTCAGGAATCGGATCCCAGATACACGTCCGCACGCGTGCAATCAAATCGTATTTTTCACTATTTTTTGTATGTAGTCCTTCAAGTCGTAATCTGATGGCCTCGTAATATTCACTAATGTCTCCTGCGTGCAAAATAACTTTAATTTTCTACATACGCACTCACAATTTTTTA